ATTTAGGAGTCTCTTGGGCAGCGAGTGCCTGGGATGCTCCCAACTGCCAAGCAGATGGATGGAGTTTTTCTGGAGAGGCGCTGGAAGTGCTGGGATCGTGGTTTCCAGCCCTGCCAGCCGGCTGGCGGAGGCAGGGCACAGCACCGAGGGGCCGGATTGCGGCAGGCCCTGCCACTGCCCTGTGCGGGGTCAAGGCTGGGATCCAAGATGGGTGAGGAGTGCCACAGATGCAGGAAAAAAGCTGCCAAGATGGACATGGGTGCAAGCTTTTTGGAATGCAAAGAGCTGAAAGTACTGCATCTTGGCTGACTAATAAGTCGTGTTGTTTTGCAAAGGCTCATTGCAAACATCTGTGAGTTGTGGAGTTCCCAAAAGGAGGATGAAGTTTCTCCCTCTTGGAGCAGCTCCTGAGGGAAGGATGCACAGAGAGATTGGGGTGATTAGGGTTACAAACCCAGGGAGTGATGGATCTGCAGGGCTCACCTTCCAAAGAAAAGGAAGAAGGAGCGAGAGGGTGTATGAAAAGTAGCTGGCAGGAACCAAGGATAATTGTATGGCTTTGCAAAAAATTACCATGGCAATTAAAAGTGTGTTAAGCTTTTTGGAGGAGAAAGAAGAGGTAAATAAAACACCCTGGGGCTAGATTTCAGGGTAGCATGGAGGGAGGCATGAACATCACCAAGCGTGGCTATGGCACAGCTGGGGGTCTGCTGCAGGGCGCTAGGGGACGAGCAAGCCCGGTGTGTCAGGAGCTGGGCATAAGGGCCAACAGGGAAAATTCTCTGAGCAAGGAGCCTTGGAGGTAAGGGATGGGGGAGGCTGCTTCTGCAGGGTGTCCGAGTGCCAGGTGCTCACCCCTGTGTCCAGAGAGTGGGGTCTTGGAGCCACAGCAAGGCTGAGCTGCCCATGTGCTCCTGCTGGTTTTGCCTTTCTCCTCCGTACTCACCCGAGGATGCATTCAGCTGGCTAAGGAGGAAATGGTATGCCTGGCTGCAATGTCCTCTGCAGCATTTTTTGACCAGGTACCAGGCATCTGCAGCCCAGATTTGTCCATGCTTTTGTCTTCCAGCCCCAGGGTTTGCAGGGTGTAAACCACTGCACTGGGCGAGACCTGCTTTGGTGGCATTGTTGAGCGCTGTAAGATGCCAAGACAAGGGCAAAGCACCTGAGGTGTCTAGACTGAGGTTCCCTGGTGTGCATGAGTGCCCGGTGACTTGGCCACGGGCTGGGGGTTTCGTGGCAGCCACCCACCTCGGGTTCCCTGCGAGCCCCGCTGGGGTCAGCAGCCAGCGCTGCCAAGTGCCAGCCCACCGTCCTCGGGGACCACAGCCATGCCTGGCCACCCACAATAGCTGCTTTCTGTCCAATTTCACCGAGGGATAGAGCTCTCACAAATACTAAGCTGCTGGAAAACAGACTTCCTTCCTTAGCTGGTTTGTCACAGCCTTTAGGAAAGTTCCAATGTTGGGTCTGGGGCCTTGTGTCGGGGCTGTGCTCAGTGCTGTATGGGCACAGGGGGCATCTCTGTGCCTTCCATTGTCATCGTTTTTACCTCCATTTCTCACCTGAGTTCACCTGGCCACTCCTGCATCACTTCTCCACTGCTGTTGGGCCCACTGAGATGTGGAAAATCTGTTTTCTTACAGCTTTTTTAATGCTTTTCTTTCAACTGGCACTCTTCTCTCGCCCTGCTGGAGATAACGCAGGACAGAGGAGCCCCTGGGGCTTGGCCACCCACTCCCTCCCTTTATGCCTTGTTAAGATTTTACTGCTTGCCCAGGGGTGCGGGCTGGCTTGTACAAGATGTCCTGGTGTCTCAGCCTGATTCCAGGTTGCACAATGAATTTCACCCAATTTCACTCTTCTAAAGTTTGCAGTTATTGAGGGCAGCTAAAATTATCCCTCAAAATCCACCAAAACCTTGGGTTGTGGTGAAGCCTCGTTCCTCCCCACAAGCACCACACACCTCCCACCCCAAACCTGGCCAAGGTGCCCCCAATCATACATCCAGGAGCAATTAAGCAAGCAACACAGCAATTACCACCCTACCCACCCTTTGCAATTCTAGTCTGTACCACCCAACAGCAATCTCTATAGCCCACCAGAGGAGGGACCGATTAGCATCTGGCATAAGCTCAACAAGATACTTCCCACTCTGGGCTGTCCTCAGCTTGGCCACAGCTGCCTGGGGATGCTCTCCAGCCATTGCAAGGCAGTTTTAAAGGGTAGCTCTTTCCCAGAGCTGTGTGCCCTGGCTCTGTGAGCACCTTTTCCAAAGGGCTCAGTGCGCCCTGGGGTCCTGAGAGCCGGGGCTTTGTATATTTTGTGCCCTGAGCGGTTAAATGCTGGAAGATCTGTTCTGGAAAATGAAAGAAGGAGTGTCTTTGGAAATTCCAGCCTGGTGGGTGGGGCTGCAGTGGCCTTGCAGGGTTGGAGAAAGAGTGAGGAAGGGTCCATCAGTGCAGGGCAGTTGACAGCTCTGCCCAGAGCTGCTGGAGCAAAGAATTCGGTTGCAATGAGATACACAAGCTGGTTGCAATGAGACACAGCTGCTCGGTGTGGGTGTCACCTGCCTCCCCAGGTGCACCCTCCTGCCTCCCAGGAGCCTTCATAGGCTCAGCGGGAGGCACAGGGTGGGGACTGGGTGCTGTTTGGGAGATGGGGCTCTCCCCTTGCTCAGGTGAGAGGAAGGAAGCAGTAGGGAGAGGAGGAGCTGAGGGTGAGGAACCTGGTTACTACTGGCAGGGAGCAGCTCTTGAGGTTTCTGGGCTGGCTGCCCCAAAGTTGAGGAGGTGCTAAGGTCCAGCAGCTGCCCAGGTAATGGGGAAGGTCCCAGGATGTTTGCTGGGTGGGGAGCACGAATGTGCAGGGTTGGGAGGAGTGTCCTGCTTGTGGGGTGGCACAGCATGCTGTCACTCATGAGCAGCGCAGGCTGATGTTGGCAAAATAGCTGGCTTGCTTTGGGAGGCTTTTTAGCTGGAGAGGTGGCTGTGACCTCTGGGGCTGAGCATGTCCCCAGCAATGTGCAGGCAGATGCTTGGGGTGGGTGCAGCTGCCCTTTGAGGCAACAGGGCATGAAGCCCCATGGAGGGGGGGTGACTGGCTCCGCAGAGGGGATGTGGCGCTGGCACTCGGTGCTCAGCAATGTATTTTGCTGGGAAGCTGCACCCTGTGTTTACTGCAAAGGTGCTGCTCAGCATGGGGGGCTGTTCCTGGGGACTCCTTTACAACCCTCCCCCATAAACCCTGTGGGCTGTGCATGTTTATCTGTTCGAGGTTTTCCCTGTGCTCTTTTCAGCTCTATCTCAATGTGTATCCCAACTGGGAGCCCATCAGCACTGCCCTGGGAGCAGTGGGGCTAACTTAATTGTTCCTGCTCTCCAAAAATCCCTTCCTCTGCAGCGAGGAGCTCCCTCCTGTTTGCTGCCAGGCCCTGCAGCACAGTGGGGAAGGCAGCTGGAGGGCTGCCCACCCCAGCAGTGATGCCTGGGAAAGCTGGGCTCAGCAGGTTGGTGAGTGGCCCCGTGACCCTGGCCCCACTCGCAGCAGAGCTGGTGGATGCACCGAAGCTTCGGGAGCTCACAGGATCTTTCCTGCCATCACCCTGCCTTGCCCCGGGGAGCATCTGGGATTTGGGCTTATTGCCAGCGGGGGAGACAGGACATGGAGTGGGGACCGCATCTCCTCATGCAGACTGCCTTCCAGGAGGCTTGTCTGGGAGTGGGATGGGGCTGAGCTTGTGCAAAATGGATCAGAGAGGCTGGGTGCCTGCTGGGACAGAGAGTTCGTCCGGTGGCACCTGCTTGTCCTCATCCCTTTGGGTAAGGAACCAAATCTCAGCAGCTGCCCCTTGGGTTGGGTGTGTGCCGGGGGTTGTGCCAAGACCCCTCAGGGACACCATCCCATCAGCTGATCATGCCGCTGGCGCAAGAGGCTCCCTTTAGTTCACCCATGGTATTTCTGAAGTGGTCAACTGGTGTCCTTACCCTCTCCTTGGGGCAAGGTGGGCTGCAGAGCTGGCAGCTTGGGAAGCTGGGCTCAGCCTCTGTGGTTCCCAGCCCCTGGTGTGATGTGCTGACGCCGAGGCCGTTGTCCTGTTGATGCTGAGTGCTGAGCAGACGGAGCAAGGGGGTCGTCTGGCCCAGGGGCTGGGACCCACACCTGGCACTTCAACACAGAACTGCAAGACAATACTGCAGGGATTTCAGTGCATTGACCAGGAGGCTTTCTGTCCATCTGGTTTTGCTGAGGAAACCCGGGAGCCATGCAACCTCAAATTGTAGCAGCAGCTTGTGAAAATGGTGTTGAAGAGCTGTCCAGGTGTCCTCTGCCCCTTTGGTGGGACTCTCTGGGAAGATGGATGATGGTGGCAGGGGCCAAGGTGCAGAGGCCAGGGATTTCTGGCTTTAACAGGGGCCACATGTTTGGGCAATGCCTAGGTGGGATGCCTATCCCTCTGAGTGGGAAACATTAGGTTTGGATCCTGTTCAGAGTGGGAGTGTGGTGTATGCAGTGGCTCCTAGACTTCCCACCTCTCTGCCCTGAGTGTTGAGGTTGTTTGTTTTGGTTTTATGGGTTATTTTGTTGTTGTTTGTTTTAAGGACAGTGCAGGGTAGGAGGCTGTCTGCCATGCAAATTCTTGTTTGAACAGGATGTCAACAGCTTGATTGCAAAGTTGTTGTGAGCCACAAGTGTTGCCTAAGGGGCAAATGTGATGGTACATCCCAATGACAAAGGTCTCTCTCCTCTGAGCTGGATGCAATAGCTAGTGCTCTGGCTTCTGTCCTGTTTTCTGGTGCTCACAGAGGCTCTGTCTGGTCTTCATTGAGGCCTTTTGAGTGTTTGCCTCAGTTTCTCTGCAGTCTTATTTGTCCCCATGGTGGGGCTGTGTTTGCAGCTGTGAAATGACTCTCCTGGAGTAAACTCGCATTGTGTTTAGCTGCTGGAGCCCTCTAACCCCACCTGAGCCTATTCCTATTTCTCACTTGCAGTCTCAAAAAATGAACTACATGGGGCAGCTTGCTGAGACCGTCTTTGTCATGGTGAAGGAGCTTTACCGGGGTCTGAACCCTGCCACCCTGATGGGCTGCATCAATGTGGTCATGGTGAGGCAGCCCGATAACTCCTTCCAGTGCTCCCCGTTCTACGTGTGCTTCAGGAAGCTGGATGTGCTGCTCTCCAAGGAGATGGTGAGTGGCACAGTGCCTTAGGATGGTGCTTCTTTGCTGTCTCCTGACCTAGGATCTTCCACAGATTATGGAAAAACTTTATTTAAGGGGAATGAGAGTTGTGCTGAAAGGGGTACTTACTCTTTTTTTCGAGCCCCTGAATGAAGCACATACTCTTCCAAATGCTTCCCAGGAAAACAGGGAGAGGTCCCTTGCCTCAACAGCTGGGTGGCTGACAGCCCTCTGAGCAGCCCCAACCTGTCCTCTTCTTGGGGAAGTGTCTCCCTCTGTGCCAATAGGTGAGTGGGTTCAGACTGACAGACTGCTTCTGCCCCTTGCCAGGTTGACATTGAAATCAATGGGGAGCCTGTGGACCTGCACATGAAGCTGGGAGACAATGGAGAAACCGTCTTCGTCCAGGAGTTGGAGGAGAATGAGGTTGGTGATGAAGAGGTGCTCTGGTCCATGTTCTCCTGTGACCATCTGGAGGTGGAAGCTTGAAGTGGAAGGGTGAGGTTTGGACTGCTCTTCTTTCCTGGCATGACTCCATTATGCCCTGTTTTGTGTGTCCAGAGAGGCTCCTACTTGAAGGACCTTGCAACTAGTGTGCGGGATTTGAGCATTGGAGCACCCTGAGGGAGTGTTAGACCAAATATCTGCATCCCAGACTGGCCTCCATCACTGGGCATGGCTGCTGGCCAGCCAGGCAGATATCTCAGTGCTTGGCCTCTTGGGGGATCTTGTGACAGGGGTGGGAGCAAGCCAGATGCTGTGGCATGCTGCCCACTCCACTGGGAAATGGGATGACATTAATTGTGGCTTCCATAAATCTTGGCAGCTCCCTCCTAGGCTGACTTGTGGTTGCTGCTAGCTTGGGCTGGGTTTGAGAGCAGGGAGAGGGCTCTAAAGCCAAAGCCCATCTGCAGCCTTTGTAATTCTGGTCTTGTGGTGCCATCTCCTGCCTGCCTCTCCTTGCCTGCATTAAAGATGTCTTTAGCCTGTGGCTGGATAGCCCTGATTTTCTTTATTCATATACTGTATGGACAAAACCTTTTCTTTGGGCTCTAGCCCTAAAACCACCTCCAAGTTGAGGGCTCATTGGTGTTTGTTGTTCTGGTGGCCTATGTTGCACAGCCAAGAGCTGCCAGGCTGGAGATGAGGGGGCTAGAGCTGACGGGCTCTTCCCATCCCTGTTGTAGGGCAGCATCCCCTCCCGCCTCTGCACATCCCCCATCCCCATGGAGCGGAGCCGGGAGGATGCTGCTCAGCCCTCAAATGGGCAGGAGACCTTCCAGCTGAAGTGACCCTGCACAGGAGAAGGAGAGACAGGAGGAAGTCCAAATGGAAGGAGGTGTCAGACTCGGAGTTAGAAGGCTGTGAGGCCAAAAGCGAGATGTCCACGGAGGACATCTGCAAGCCGCCAGCTCCCAGGTAAGCCGCTTAGTTTGGGTGGGTCAAGTTTGTAGGTTCACTTGGTGATATCCAGCAGTTCTGAAAAAAACTAGTTAGTGTTTTGAGTTGGACCCAAGAAAGGCAGCAGGTGGTGGTTCTCCTGGAGGAGGAGAGAATTCCCTGCAGAGGAGGTGTGTTTGCAGCAATAGCTGTGACAATCGTGTCTGCAGGAGACAGGTGTCATTCTGGTGGCTGGCAGGGATGGAGGTCAGAGAGCAGCAGGGTCCTGGGGATGGCCTGAGGCTGAGTATGAGGACAGCCACACGGACCTCTTGGCAAAGAGGCTTCTGAAGGTTGCTGCTGTCCCCTCAGGTCTATTAGTGCTCAAGCAGCAGGACAAGGCCTGATAATGCGCTAATGTGAACCTTGTAATGGTGAGTCCTCTTGTCACATGCCTCTTGTGCCGCAGCCCTGGCACCACAGATGCTTTTGGGCACATCTTGCCACATCTGGGAAAAGACTGGACTCATCATGGAATTGCTAAGCTCTTCCATAAAATCCACCTGTAGGTATTGGATCAGCTGAGGCTGAGGGGATGATGGAGGAGGCTGGAAGAGCCAGAGTTGGGGCTCCATACTCACTGATGCTGACCAGAACAGGCTATTTTTCTCCTGTCAGTGATGGCTGATACTTACTGTGCTATCTGGATGAGGTCGGGGGATGAAAGCAGGGGCTTTCTGCTGGACGTAGACACTGGGAACACGGGAGGCTTTTCTGAGGAGATGTACCTGAGCACGGAGGAGATGCAAACACACAAGACCACACCTAGAGGCCACAGGTACAGCCGAATACCTTTGGGTGCCTGTGCATCAGCAGCACTGGGGGTCCACCCACCGTTTAGGTACCGCTTTTTGTGCCCCCAGGGGACCATCCGCACCCCC